TGCTGAAACGTAAGAAAAATCATGAAAAAAATGTAGGGACTTCATTTATCCTTTAATCTCTGTAACTACACAAGCCTTACAGTGCATATTAAAGAAATTTCAGTGTGAACAGACTCTACCCGGTATCACTAAATCTTGAGGGGTTTCCTTTCTGGATTCTTATCTGCTCAATCTTCATGAAACACTTCTTAATGTACTTAAATTGAGAAGCAAAATGTGTTTACAGCTTCTGATACTTCAACTGTATGTGAATCTCCGCTGTTGCATGATTGCAGAGGCCTTTGCTTCATAAATTTTTGTTGCAACATGAAGAAAAACCTTGACAAGTCTTTACTTAACCAATCAGTTGCCAAATGTGAACAACTCATTCAACTTTGGCAAAAGATGCCATTCTGCATCTTCTATTGTGGTTAGAGTGAAGATCTGGAAGTCAGACATGGTATTTTATGAGCACTTAAGCATCAAGAAAAGGCCTGTGTTTGAAAGTCTGAGAAGAAAATAACCGCCTTCCAGTCATGTTTCATTTGCAGCAGATGAAAAAAAAAGCAGAGGAAAAAGCCAGAAGGTTCTCATTCCTCCAAGATGAAGGAAGGACAAAAATTCCCATTTAGTCTGTAGACCCCATTAGCCCAAGAGTTAGATTATGTGCTCTGAACTTTGTATGAAAGACACTTATTTTTGTTTTGTTACTTTTTGATGGCAATATTTAAGCATTTTAAGCTATTCTTGCACAGAGCTATGTAGCTTTGAATAGTTTGGCACCACACACCCATGTAAGCATCAGCATACTCTTTGTTTGATTCAGTTGAGTAAATATCAAGGTGGAAACCGTGGTTTTATTGTGAAGCACTGTAATTTAGCTTTGCATGTGTATATGATGGAGCAGAAAAAAAAAAACTGTGAAATCCTCTGTCTCTTTAGCTCCCTGATTCTTCTGATTTGGGACAAGATTGTAGCTGCTTTTAAATATGAAGGTGCAAATGTGTCAAGATTTTACACTGTGGTTAGTTTTCCAGTTGCACTAAGCAATGTGTTCTTTGCAGAAGTCAAAGAGATGGGTGAAAAGTGGCCTAGTGGCCACTGGGTAAAAACTTTGCTTGAGTGATGGATACACAGATACATTACAAATGTTTAAGGTAAGTTCCCTTATATCATAGACTCATAGAATGGTTTGGGTTAGAAGGGATGTTAAAGATCATATAGTTCCACTCCCCTGCCATGGGCAGGGCCATCTTCCACTAGACCAGGTTGCTCAGAGCCCTGTCCAACCTGGCCTATCTCTATGAAGGTGAAGACAGAAGCTGCTTGACCTTATATTCAAACTTTTACAACATAAATAAAGCAGAACAGCTGACCAGAAACAGTAAAAATAGCATCTTGACATTTTCATTCTGAATCTCATGCTTTTAAAGATCAGATCTCTTTTTCCTCAGTTGACATGTAGCTCAGTCAGCAAATTTTCAAAAGAGGAGGAGCAACTCAGTACATATGTGCTTAACAGTCACTACTCCAAGTGAGGGAACCTGTGTGAATTTTGAACTTTAACTGAATCTCAAACAGAACTTCCTCCTAGTTAAGAAGGTTGTTTGAGTTTTTTGGTCTAGTCTGCTTCAGAACTGTCTTAGTCTCTTACATGAACTTAGAATATTATACACTCTGCTTATGCTGTCTAATTTCTAATAGGAACGAAGTGTGAGACTCTGTAATAATAATCATAGTATTATTCCTACTTATCAGTGTTAGTACTACAGCATTGTTCCTAGTGTGACCCACTGTATAAATTCCCTCCTCTCTCACAAGCAGTTGATACTTTTACCTTGCTTTTAATATACAGAATGGACATAGGACAACCAAAGGTTTTATCGTTAATGTGGGTTACTCAGGGTACTAGCCCAAAAATGAAGCAACTGTTCCTCTGCGTAGTCTCTGTGGTAGGCTGAGAAGTGAAAAGAAATAGATGAAGAGTTCCATCCTTCTAACTGTGCAAAAGTATGGATGCATGGTAGGTTACAGAGGCAAGGGATAAATCACTACTAATTCAGAAGAAGAAAATCCTGAGCAGAACAGCTTCCACTTTATATCTAAGACCTCTAATTAAACTGGATGAGAACCAATTAAGAATGATGCTCCATAATGCCTAGTCGGAGGTTTTTCTGAAACAAGGTTATTCCTAAGGTTTTGTTCTTCAAAAGTCTTTAATCCTGACTCTAGTTGTCTCAATGAAAAGTTTGAAATACTTTGTAAACTCCTGGTTTGGGCATAAGAGCACTCTGTTGCTCTGACATCAAAGTGAATCAATGAGCTAGCTGTGCATTTCTATCCAGTGCTTTAGCCATATATTCTTTTGCAAGTGTCTAGGAGCTGTCATCCTGCTATGCTGTGATGAAAATAATTGGATATAGTTCCCACTTCTGTTATTCCCATATGATATTGCTGCTGGTAAAGAATACTCAAAACTGAAGGCTCCAAAGGCAAGTTTAAAACTTCAAAAGCCAAGTGTTCTCACGTGCTGAGCTGCTTGCGTCTCCAAGGAAATCTGCAGAGAGCTGCACCATATATCAAAAAGGAGCCAGACATAAGACCATTCCCCCAAATGAATGATATGCAGAAAGAAAGTACAGTCAAGGATCTAAACAGTGAGGAACTTGGTACTCAAATTGGGAATCAGAATCAAATCATTCTGGGGGAAGGGAAGGCTGTGTAGAAATAAAGAGATAGAAAATGAAATTACAAATCCAGTGAAGAAAAATACTTAATAATTTGTGACTGTTAAGCCACATGCCCTTATGTTTTGGGGGTTTAGTTGGGTTTGGTTTGGTTTGGTTTGGTTTGGTCACTTGAGGCATGAATTTACAATAGTCCTGTAGGTTTGAATACTGCATATAAACATGCTGGGTTTTCCACAGCTTAGTAAAATTTGTACTGTGTGACAAACTATGTTTCAGCCAGATGGTGTCCTGGCCTAGTGAGAACCAAGGGGTGAGGAAATTGCTGAGAATCCTGTCTGCTTCATACTGCTGCTTAGCAGGCAAGCAACGTTCACGGAAGTTCAGCAGACATTCAACAAACCAGACATTTTTGTGGGTTGCAAGGTTACAAGATGAGCCCTAGATGCCATGTGTTGACAGCATATTGATACCAGATTTAGTTCTTGGCCAAAATAGCAAAGGTCAGCGTGGAAATTTCAGCTTTGTATTTAAAAAAAATAATAATAAAAAATTAAAATCTCTAATTCTAAGTCTCTGTTTAATTGTGTTGGCTCTACAGTGTTTTTATCAATCATGGCTGACAAATACTACTGCTCTGAACTGATGTTTACATTTTATTTATACTGAGATTAAATTTATTCTAGCTCCTGAACAGGAAAGACACAAAGGCAGCGAACAGCCTACAACATCTCTATCTGATTTCACCACTTCAGAGAACAGCCCCACAAATGGAAACTTGGGAAAAAAATCACTCCTGACAGTCCTGCAATGGAGAAGTGGAGTTGGAATTGGGTTTTGCAGCTGGAGATATCTGAAACCTTCCTCTGGGTAAGGAAATTTTCTGCAAGCAAAATTGCCCAAGACATCTCTTCCTTGGCATTACATTTTATGCTATTAATTTTGCAGAGCTGTCCATGACAATATCCCACAAAGTTTCTTGCTGCTGTACTTCTCATGTCTACACAGTGGTACCATAACTAGCTGGACAGGGCAAACTCTACTGACTTTATTCTAACCGCTAACTTTCACTAGCATTATAGAAAAACAAATAGTAAGCAATTAACTTAAAAGTTTAAATATATATTCCTTCATCCCATGTTTTGGGTTTTTCTCAAATCCCACATCCCATTTTTAAACCATTATACCCATTCTAAAATGGGTATGTTTGAGCTGGCCAAGCTTTTTCCAGGAGTAATTCACAGTATGTTGCAGGAAAGTCTTGACTGCAGTCAAGCAAGCCTCAAATATCCTTCCCTCTCCTAGGTTATTAAAAAATGAATCAAATTGACTGAATAAGGGGGAAAAAACCTTACAGTCACATCTTTCAGTGCCTGCAGTTCTGAATTTTTTTTTGTTAATTTGTACTGTAACGTAGACACTATCTGTCCAAGGCCATGCAAAGAGCAAAGGGCTAACTCCCAGAATGTCATATGCAATACATGTAAATAGGAGTGGTAAGACTGAGGTAGGCAAACATTAGGATTGTGCAAGACAGAGATAAGCAAGTAAATAACCTCTCCCCAAGACAAAGCACAAAATTACAGCTTTCATTAGAAATGTAGTCATTTTTTGATTGTTTGGTTGGGTTTTTTTCTCTTGGCAGGCTTGTCCTCATGGTAAAAATCCTGCAGGTTTCTGCCCTAGTTCCTCTCCACTATGCTGTGCTGGGAAGCCAGTGGTGTGATAAAGAGTTTTACTATGGACTGATCAAGTAAAGGCATTGGTAAGTAAAGACCTTTTGCTGCAATATTTAACCATACTGAGGCCATGCAACCCTTGCAGGTGCAGACATTCTGGTTAGAAAGTCTGGTTTGAGTCCATGAAACTGGATCAGAAATATCTACCAGGATTCAAGTTTTGTTTTACTAGTTCGCTAAATAACTTTCATTATTTTATTTTGGTGTATGCCATTGCCCCAGATTTTGATATGAGCCTAAAGAGGAAGCACAAAGTAGTATATAAAGAAGTGGTGCTTCTTACACTCTGGTTTTTACCCTAATGATAATGTTCTCACAGTAACATGCTAGTGATTATACTTCATATTGTACTTTATCAGATGAAACATGACACGAAGCTGCTTTCTGTGGGTAATCTTTGCTGAAGCTTAAAATAAAGCGAAGTAATTGAGATGAGTAGCAAAATTCATGCTGGATTTTTTTTTCTCACTTTATCCCAATCTGTCAACCAAATGGTGCTTTTTTTCATTTTGACTGGTAAAACTGGTAGAAAATAAAGGAAATTGACACGACTTAGTACGTGACTTATTTACCTTAGTAAATAAGCGTACATGACTTATTTACCTTAAATACTTGACTTTTTTACTGTAAGTAAATAGTACATGACTTATTTACCTTAAAATTTTGTCAGCTCATCTGTGTGGTCATTTCATTTTGGTTTTTTGAGCTAAACACAGAATACATGAGACATGATTGCCTCAAATTTGACCCTCGTATTAAAAATCAAGGACAATTACTGTGGTGCAAATTGTCAGAATGTTATGTAGAACTTTACCTCACGACATTACTGCCTGTTACTGTTGTTCTGCTCAGAGAGGGCAGCAAAGTATTGCAAACCTAAGATCCAAGAGGACTTTGGCTCTGAAGTGTAATACTGAGGAAGTAATGTATTTTATTAATATACAAGATCTGAAAGGAGAAATTAGGAGGCAAGCAGATCATTTCTATTTAAATGCACTTAAGCTTTTTGTCCTTTAAGCTACATTTATTTGCTCTAAGTTTAGACATGCAGCAATCCTAATAGCTGTGGAAAGAAGAGCCCCAGCAGAAACACAATAGCTGGAGAGTTCAGGATTCATCCCAAACTGGAATACCATATGACTCATTTGGCATGAAGAGAAATTCTTTAAATTTAGACATACAGTGAATAAAACATTGAAATGGATTTGCAGCACAGGGAGATTGATGGCTGTGCTATATTAGGTATTTTCATTACACCTTAAGATTTTCAGATTCTTATCAGCTTGGTTGTTTCTTTTCTGGTTTCCATACATAAAGATTACAATCAGAGGATAGATGAAATGGTTCAGACACTATATCTTGGTATTGGTCTTTTCCTGAAGATGGGAGTCTATTTATTTCCTAGGCAATGTAGGCAACTCTTTCCTAGGCAACCCTTTAAAATTATATAAACAGATAAATTTACTAAATTACTCTGCTTGATTTGTCACAGATCTGTGAACTTAGCAATTACACTTCTGCTTTTCAGTGCCTTGGTATTTTGGCTTTCACTGCTGGTGGTAGCAAGTTCAGTTAACACAGGTAAACCTGCAGTGCTCCTGCAGCCAATGGCTTACCAGGCTGAAGAGATGGTCCCAAAGCTGACAAAGGAGAACCAGGTACAGAGCTATGACTATTTAGCAATATTGTATTTTCAACACTCGTCATCCCTTTAGTCTTGTTTCATGCTTCCTTCATTGTTTCATTTTGTCTTTCTTCTCTCCTTTTCTTCTGCCCCCTTAACCTTTTGTAGGCTCTGTACAATTTCAGGGAGCTGAAAATGCTTTCTGCATTTATAATGCTACTCCAGATACTTGGCTTTTAATTAATAAATAAACAAACAAACAAATAAATAAATAAAAAGATACATAATGAGATTTTAACCCGATTGTACCATTTATCTTCTAAATCACTTACAGAGTTTCCTACAATACCCTCTTAAATGATTAATGCTTTTTCTTTCCAGGGGCCAGCTCTCAAAACCAGAACTCATGCTTGTGAGAATTGTCTACAAATCCGATGGTCATAACTTGATTGCTTCGTATTTACCAAGTCCCAACAACAGAATTCCCCCAAGGCATGATTTGTCATTTAGGTAACATTTTTCATGCACTGCTGCAAACAGCAAATAGATCAGCAAATGTCATGTGGTAGAACCAAAGTCACCTGCTCTCCCAAGTTGCCAAATAAGTTTCTGTCCAAACAATTAATAAGCACATATGGAATTGTATACTTTCTTACTGTATCCTGTCTGTGATGTTATGTATATACCACCACACATCTTGGAATTACATAACTGCTTTTCAACCTCCAAGCAAACTCCCATCCTTATCAATACCACTTGATATGAACTATGACATAAAATTTTTCAGTGGCATATATTAATATTCTGTATAGACATTTTCTGGTCCACATACCCTCAGTATGCATTATGCAATTTCACACTTGAAATAAGTAAAACAAGCACTATCTCTTCCAACAAACTGCTTCAGAGGTATCCTTAATCTTATATTTAGCTCATTTTCTAGCTCATATACTGTGATGTGTGACTGGATTACAGCTGAAGTATATTAGCTTTCTGTTTTTAGAGCATGTGTACCTCTGAAATAACATGAGATGGCATTTATTTCATTGGATTTTCAGTGCCATAAGTAGGTGTAGTAAAGAATTTTTCATCAAAGTAATGCATTTCCTAGCAACTGAAGCTTTCCATAGAAACAATACAGTTTTCCTGAGATAGATATATTTATTTTCTTTTTGTGTGTGGTGGGGGGGGGGGGGGGGGCGCGCGGTGGAGGGAGAAAGAGTCCGTGTTTGGTACTCTCTCTAAGTACTAAGAAAACATAGTGGAAGAAAAGCTTATAAAACATTTTAAAAATTTTATTTTACATTGAACTTTAGAAGAAGAATTGAGAGGTCTGCAGGTTTTTCCTGGAAAAAGTCGGAACTCCAGGAATAAAAGATTTAGGACCACAAGGAGAGAAAGTGCAAAAAGGAGAACATGCAAGTAAGAAATAAATTTCTCATGTTTCTATAAACTGGGTTTCAAACTTTCTGTATATCTTTAAAAAAAAAAAAGTGTTAATTTCCCATATTCTTGTAATGTCATTTGAGGAAAAGTGTAATTTCCAGAAGTGTGAGGAGCAGACCGATAACCCATCTGTTACATAGGAGATGAATTGACCAACATAACCGGGGGGGAAAGGTGTCTGGAATGAGTCACTAGTTTATTGTTGTCTGTGAGTGAAATAACAAACACTCTATTTCATGTTACAAAGAGCATTTTTTTCTTTCATTCTTTGCCTGTTCATGTGTTTTTTACTTCAATTTTGATTCATTTAAAAATGTTTACATGTGTGTTTTGCCTTTGAGAACTGGGAGTTTGCTCTTTAACAGAAGATGACTTTGGCAGAATTCAAAGCCCACCCAATCATCCCAGTCAGGAAGTCTCTCCAAGTGGGATGAATTCCCATGGAACAAATCTGCAATGTAGCCTGCGGTTTCTGCTCTGGAAATCAAATAGCTCTCACATGGCACCAGGTCACAGGAGAGCTAAGCATCTTAGAGACCACTGTTGTGTAGTATAAATTACTAAATAACAGCCTTAACTCCGAGTTGTAGTAACCGATGACCTGCAGAGACAACCAGGATCAGCTACTGTTCTCTGGGTGCTTGTGCTTTAAGTATTGCATTACATTTCTCTTACTGCCTCAGTTCTAGATAATTTTCTATCAGTAGACATGGATTGGGATGCTGTCTGTTTGAGCCTGGCTGCAAGTAATTTCTCAAGAAATACCATGTGAAAACTTTCAAAGAATATATCTGTGCACTGCTAGCCCTGGTACAAATGCTGGATTAGGAAAAGCACAATTTCCATCATTGCTTTTAAATTAACAGGAGAAAATTACACAGGTTGCAGTTTACCACACCATGAGCATCAGTAGAATAGCTCATATCATCGTATAGCTCTGCACCTTCCAAGGGGTGTATTCCCTGCAGAAAGCACAACTTTGAAAGCATAGTTGTGTGTAAAGCCTGAAAGTTAACCTGAAATTGGGGCAATAAATTGAAGAGCACAGAGAGGCTGAACAGCTGGTAGCAGTGATCACTTCAGCCATCTCAGTTCTCTTCTATGATTTTAATTGATCTGGCAAGCTATTTTGTCATGGTTGCAATTTGAGTGTGAATTGCTTCAGATCCTGATTCAAGAGCTGCAATACTATATGAATTGGAAATGAAAAACCTTAGAACAAGACCTGTGATCCAGTTTCTTGTGAAATCCCAGTTTTCTTAAATTGTGGGCTTGGTATTTCCACGTGTCTACTTTGTTTGATCTCTGTTGGATTCTCCCTGCCACTTCAACAAATAGTCTGCTTATAGCTGGTATTAGCTACTTCTGAAGTACAATTGCGATAAGGATAAATAGCTATAACATGATCAATTTTTTGTATAATACAGCTATGTTCACTTTTGTTTCTAGGTTTGATTTTAAAGAATATCAAGAGTATTGATTAAAAAAAAAAAATGTCTTAACTGGAAAAGAAGATACTTTTGTAAATGGAAAATCCTGTTGTACGAAAGCTGGAAATGCACTTGCCTCTCCTAGGAACAACACTAAAAACATAGCTTTAAAACACTTAATGACACCTTGGAAGCAGGCTTATATGCTCTGACGAACAGACTGAAGGCAGATTTCTGTATCTGAATGGAAGGGCTGTAACTTACAGAAACTGGAATGTTGAAGAACCGGATAATCTAAAAAATGAAGACTGTGCAGTAATACAGGACTCTAGAAAATGGAATAACATTAATTGTTCAAATTCACGTGCCTTAACTATTTGTGAATTCTCAAGCTGGTGCATCTAAGAAAACCCAAAGTTTTTGCTCTCAGTTACGTGGCTGATACAGAGGTTTGTTCCTATAAAAGTGGCCTGGACTAGACAGAATTGGAGTATATTTAAAATTGCTTTCTCTTTGACATTCAGCTTTGAATCTCCTAATTAAAAAGGAATTTAATTTGTTCAATCATTATTAATTATATTTAATCTCACTGGTAGTAAGGCTAATAAACTATGGCATGCTTAGCAGGCTGCTTGTACCTTCTTATGAGTTCCTCATAAATTCAACATGGGGGAAGCAGCTTTTAATAATCTTGAAACTAATTAAAATCTTTTATACATTCTGTTTTTGAGCTGAGCTGTAAACTTGGAGAGATCACTCTCCACATGTTGCTTCTGATATGTTCTTTTATCATGTAAATAATGGACAGTGCACACACCTATTTCAGTATTTGGTCATGGCTTCGCTCCTACTCTACTTTTACTGTAGTTCTAAAAATGACTAATAATGATCACTTGGAGTCGAGACCGATATTTGTCATCTGAGTACAGAGGTGCATTGTACACAAGTGATTACTAACATCCAAATAGTTTATTTTTTGAAGTTTCAGCTATTTTTGTGCTGTTTTTTGCAACATTCCTCTAACTACACAGAAGAATAAGACAGTAAAATACCAGGCGCTTTTCTTTGTGTGCAATAGAACAATCACAAGAGAGCAAGATCTGTTCCGGTAATCTATAGTGGTCTTATGAATTACAGGAGGTATAGATCAAACTTCAAATGCAGAAGAAAACAGAAAATTTTTGCCTGAAATTAAACACATGAGCTTACCAGTGAAATGTACTCCAAGTGGAATTTAACAAACTCATGCAGAAAAACAGCAAAAGCCCTTATTTACGTGAATAGGTCCTTAATGTGAAAGAAGTGATACCATAGGTTTTAAATATTTTCCTTACGGGAGCTTCTTGCACCTCAAGCAAACTACAAAAAGGTGAACTGCAGACTGGTTTAGCTAAGAATACCCCAACAACAATGTTGCTCAGTTACCAATACTGAAAATATGACAATTAAGAAAAATGTTTACACACAGGATTTAAGGTTTTAACCATCAAGAACAGAAGATTTTCAATTCCTCCTTCAGTGATTTTAAGACACGTAAGCTAAGTACCTCTGCGGAAAGAAGGACTGTGTCTACACTGGCAAGTTCCGTGCACCCATGGGAGCATAGAAATGTATCTGTACAGAGGAGCATTTGATGCCAGGCTCATCTGGTTTATAAATTCTTTTATAATATGAAAATATGTTATTTTCATATTGCATACCTATCTTTGTAAGTAACGACATTTCTCTGTACCAGGTTATACAGGTATAGCAAAAAAGCAATTACTCAGATTGGTGAAGGGTGTGAATTTTCTAGAGTATGATTTATCTGCTGATCTGCATTGTGTTCTCCCTGTCATTACTGGCAATGTGTCTTTGCAGTTCTCAGGTGAACTACATTCCTTTTAATTGGTGTCCTGCAGCCATGAACACTAAAACTTTTTACATTTTGCTTGGGAGTTTTTAATCAATATTTAGTGTACGAAAATGCAGGATATGGTGCAATATTTAAAAGATAGATTTGGGTTAATTTAGGACAAGAAAGAGACATTCTAGAGAGTAGGCACAGTCCTGTTGTGCTTCCAGGTTTAGGGGTCACTGGTAATTCAGGATCCAATGCATTTATATAGAATGCTTATGTAAGTGTACTTTGAGATAGTATCCAGAAAACACTGTTTTGCATGGAGCTGGACTAAAAGCAATGACATATTATGCCCTCAGTGCGTCAGCCAGAAGGTTACAATGACTAAACTGCTGATCTGAAAAAGTTGTAGTACTATTTTGCAGATGTGAAAGATTGTGTTCTTTCAACTGATTTTTTTTAATAAATGCTTATTCCCTAAATGCCATATCCATCACTCTCTAGAGTGTCCAGCTCTGAAATGTAGATTAGGTTAGTTTTTATGTGATTTTGCCCAGCAAATCTCCAATACAGTTAGAAATTTATGAAGCTTCTTGTAACCTTATGTTAAGACTGTGTTCAGAAGCATTCACTTCATTCAAATGGGATCTATACAAACTGCAAAACTATTTGCAAGTAAGTGCAAAAATAATCTTCTGCTAAATCACTGGAAGTTCACAAAAGCAGAATGGGAGAACATTCATATTGTGTGCTAGGTTTCATACGGTCTAAAGTTACCAGGCTGTATACACAAAAGGTGTATTTAGCCCCAGCAAGGATGGTATATATAGCACATCCAAGCTGCATTTCTTGAATCTGCCTAGTCAGTTCATCTTTGGGGTCCTTAAGCTCCCAGGCTTCAGTCCAGTATCAGTTCTTCTGTATCCAGTATTCCTCATCTTGTTGGTTTACCCTGGTGTAAACTATCTCAAGGTTTACATCTTGCAGGTTCCCCAAGCTGCTAGCTTCCCTTCCTTTCTAGAAACTCTGCTCTGTATTACACTGATGAAAATCCATCTCTGGTGGAGTTGTCCTAGAAATGCAGCTGTGTAAGCAAAAGTGTAGCTCTATTAATCTGGTCTTAAACAGTAAAATGTCCTAAACTGTTGCTCAGAGGAGCAGAATAGCAGTGCTGAAATCTGTGAGATTTGGCAGGCCACTGCATGAAAGCAGGCTGATATTCTGACTAGACAAAAGTCCACAGAGCAGGAACAAGACATGGAAATAGAAAATGAGCTTTTAATAAGTTATATTACTTGAAACTTTAAAACTCAGGAAACCACTAAGTTCTGACCTTTCTCACCATGTATGTTAGGGACATCTTTCTTTATGGACATCTTTATTCAGTAGGTAGTGAAAAGAGAGGAAGAATTTGAAATTGTGTTCTATTATCTTCCAAGAGGCTTAAATCAGCATCCCTGGTGACCACTTAATTTTGCATTAATTATAAACTAATCTGTATATGCTACTATACCCCTGATTAAAACCGTCTCATTTGGTGCTAATATGACCTCCACAGAGCTCCTGAGTAATTCAGGATGAGAGCAACATTCGTTAATCAGCTGCTGGGTTTATCTTTCTAAAACACAATTTCAGGCTAAGTACAGGCTTAGGAAGAGCTACCATGTCACACGTGAAAAAAAATACAATCTCTGAAAAGCTCTTTTCCTTCTCTTTACTTTTCAAGTGGCAATTTTCAGTGGGAACTACAAGGTGGAAACAGGAAGCTATTTCAATCAGTAGCAACTTATACTTACTGCTTTATTTTTTAATTACAACACATAAATATGGGGGAAGGGGTGGTTAACATGCTCAGAGCAGAGGAGAAATGTGCCCTTACCTCTGGCTTGTTTCCTGTTGTGAAGTCATCACTCTCTTGTGTGAAATACGCAGAGGATGGCTGTCACACAGGGAAGTCTGTGGCTTTAGCACTACCTAAGTGTCTCTACCCTTTGGCCTAGCACCTGGAGACATGAGTAAAGAAAAAGAATTCCTGGACTGCCATTTGAACAAAAATGCCCAGGAAAAGAAATAATGCAGGAGAGCCTGGAAATCTAGGTGCAGTCAAATAATTTTATTTTTAAGGTGTCTGCCAAACCTCTCAGTACTAGCAGCATGACTGGATCCTCTGTGTTATCTCTAGGGAATTAATTTATCCTGAGGCACCTACAGTTAACATCTTTTTATGATCTGTGACCCTAGTGATATTTCAGACATCAATAGCTTGAGCCATTTAGATGAGTGTTTCAGAGTAGCTGGTCGTGAGAGCTTTTTCCTGGCTGTCTGTGTGCTCTGGTTTGTTTATGTCTTCAACTAGCAGCACTGTTTGTCCCATGGAGCTGAGCTTGTGTGTTAATCCTGCAAGAAGCTTCTGGAAACTTTGCAGGGGGAGGAAGGCTCTATAGTGTTGAACTGGTTAGCATCCTTTTCCAGGTGTTTAAATACAGGTAGAACGTCAAGCAGCTGGACTAAGTATATGTAAAGTGAAAGCAGTAGTCAACCCACATTTAGGTGTCTGATTTCAGAGAGTCCAAGTGTGCTAGCACTGGGATTCGTGGAAACGGGCCTGCGTTAGCTCAGCAGTGCAGCAGTCTGAATTTCAGTGTTTCCTTGCAGCCTTAACAGAAAATATTACTACAGAGCCACAAAAAATGCATGAGTATGTACACTGTCTCACAACATTCAAAACTGTAAGGCTGCCCTCTGTTCCTGTGTTGCTTTGCCTTAGTTTGGTCTCTTATTTACCCTGTTGTTTGGATACTCACAGCAACTGTATCATGACAAGTCCCGGTTGTTTACATCCCTAACTGTCCTACTCCATCTACACAGCTTGTACTTGAACACATTTCAGAGGTGCAAGGCAGCAAGAAGGGCAGGAGGGATTAAATCATCTGTGCTGCCCTGTTGCAGCTTTCCCCCTCAGGCTTTCTGTGCTCTCCTGGGAGAGCTCTGGACAGCATCTCTTCTCCTTTCTGCCATCTGTACAGTTGGGCTACAGCTCTTGGTCACCTTTGTTCTGTGCTTGAGATACATACAGAAAAAGGCTCTGGTGCTCCCCCACTGCCCCATGAATTATTCCCAAGCATATTTTTCAATCAAGCTTTTGTTTTGATACAACGAGTGCAGGTAAACTACTGCAAGCTGTTTTAACCAAGCATCATACTTCACCAAATTTAGTTGGAAATCCTGAAACCTCTTAAGCAATATCATAATGAATACATTGGTTACTCTCTCGGTTATCTCTTACCTTGCACTTTATGGATTCAATGACACCTGTGCAAAGATGTCCCGTGCAGAAGTGGTTTGATCAATGCTACTTTGCTTACAGATTACAACCTTTTAACCCCCTCCATTCCTTTATGCCCTTTCCACCCTGCTTAAGCAGCTGCATGCATTCAGAGAAGCAATATGAAGAGGGATAACAAGAGGAAAAGAAAAAGGCAAGAGGAAGTGATGCATTTTTAAAAATCTTTTTACCTCTTTACCTTTTATTATAGAGAGCTACAGCTAAACTGGAAAAAAAGGG